TTAAAAATTAGGGGTGCAACTCGGGCGGGTTCGGTCGGGTTGGGGGTCTGCCCAAGCCCGACCCGAATTGTATTTGGCAGTGCCCAAGCCCGCCCAAGCCCGACCATGAACCCGAGCATTGCTGTAAAAAAGCCCTTAAAAAGGGCTTATTTCAGGAACATTTGGTCTCAAATTGACCCTTTAATCATAAAGGCCCCCCATAACATTGGGTAGTTATTAGCTGGCAACCCTTCAATTCAAACTATGTCCCACTAATAATCAAAAGTTACATAAAACTAAATCAGATATATATATATATATATATATAATGTATTAAATATATATATAAAAAATATTAAATTCTAATTTTTTGATTTTTTCTGGATCCTTGGTGGGTGGTCGTTAGCAAAGACTACAAAAATATCACACTATGCCCCCGTATTAGCAAATCCTAAGCCTTCCATGGCAATGCTCCACTGTTTTTCAAGTTACTTACATCATACCCCATGATCATATCCACACATTATTAAATTGGTCATTATTGCAAAAACACTCACGGAATATCCATAATCTTTATGTGCAACACCAACCACCTACACCACCTTATGTGAATTGTCACACCTATGATTCCAATCCAAATTTACTTATATACCCATCAATGTAGAGAGCAATGAATCTACAATCTACCCCTAAGTTTTTTTTTTTCCTTGATAAAAAAGAAGTAAGAAGAACAGGGACGTAATCATAAGAGTCCACATCCGTTGGGAATGGGACAAAAGGAGGAGCTTAGGGGCTGAGCAGTGGATATACCGATCTACCCAAACTGACCGAACCAAATCGATCCGTCGCATTTTGAACGGATGCGTGATGCCGAACGGACGGTTGTAGATTGAATTTTTTCAATCCGCCTAGTTTTGAACGAATGGCGGATTTAAAGTTCTTTTGGCAGCAACCAAACCGCCAAACTGTGAGCATTCCTAGTAATTTGTAAAATTTTGTGCTTTTAATTTGTTTAGATATTTTATTTGTGTTTTCATTTGAAAAAGAGTTTAAATATTATATTGAATATATTCTATTGAAAAAAATAAATGTATTATTTATTTATATTTTTTGATTTTTAAATTTAACTCTAAAAATAAGAAATAAAAAAGATGATATATGCTGATTGATTTTTATTTTCAAAAATAAATATAGATGTAACAATACAAAGGCACACAATCTTTACTACTGCTCTGTTCATGATTTTGATGGTTTGAATTGTTTTTATATTTTAAAAACCACAGATTGTAATACTTTATGTGGATGAGGCATGCTGTGATTGTAGTATGTGGATAATGCATGCAGTGTTTGTGATATTCTAAAGTTTTAAACTTTCTTACTTTGGATGAGGCATGCAGTGATTGTAATATTTTTTTAAGTCATTGACTGTAATATTTTTTTTTTTTTGAGGTAGTGCACAAGTTGAATTATGTTGAAAATTTATAAAATTTTAAACCGCCAAACCGATTCGCATTTATCCGTCAATCTGCCAATCCGTTCAATCCACATCCGCCGAATTGGCAAACGAATGTGAATTGATTTTCTACAATTCACCAATTTGACAGACGAATAACAGATTAAAAATTCCGTGGCCGTAACGACCCGCGCCCACCCCTAGAGGAGCCTAAATGGTTAGTCAATACAAGAGACCACATAAAAAGGCTCTGTAGACATTCTCTCAAAACAAGCTTGGATGTGGTTAGGCCTAGGGGTGAGCATGGTCTGGATTGGACCGGATTGACATAAAACCAGGACTAATCCGTTATTTACGGTTTCTGAAAAATTAGAACCAATCCAATCCGTTTAAATCATGGAACCGATCCGAACCAATCCATTTAAATACGGATTTGATCGCGCTATATTAGTTCCATAATAGCAACATGTCTTTCTATAATAGCGACATACTGTTCTAGAATTTAAACAATCATAAGAAAATTGGTTTCACCATAAGTATTTAGACCATTACAAATTAAAATTAAAAACTAACAAACAAAAGTAATAAAAGAAGATATTATGCAGGTTTAGGTTTGAGTTTATGTTTTATATGGAATAAGAGAAGATACTATGGGGGAGGATGTATAATAAAAATATAGACTATTTGTATACGGTTCGGATCGGTTCCAATCCGGAACCGTGGGGTTTAATCCGGAACCAATCCGTGGACTACGGATTTTTAATTCTTTAATCCGGAACCGAACCACGGATTCAAAAAATCAATCCAAACCTATCGAATTGGACTACACTAGATCAGATTACGAATTTCACGGATTCCTTGCTCAACCCTAATTAGGCCGAGAGCACAATGACAACAGAACAAATGACCGAAGATTAATGAACAGAAATCCCGCCTACGGCATAGCCGAAAATACGAAAACACGTCATGTTGATCACCAAACCACATAAAATAAGCCCCTCAACCACTAGGCTTTTTAATATAATATAAGCTATCTACAACTAGTTTCCTCCAATCTTCCTCTTCCCACATGACTAGAGAAAATTGCCAAAGGGGTTATAGAATAAACAATACTACAATGAAAGTGCAACTTTGGGTATCTTTGCACCTTTAGAAATAATATAAAAAAGTGTACATTAGAGTAAGAAAAATCGATAAAATCAAGTTAATCCCCTGTGATCAATTGAAATTTTGATTTTTGATGATTAAACTAACCAAAATATTATATTTAGTACTCATTTAGCTAACAATTTAGGACTAAAAAAGCACAAAAAAGACAATAACTTATGTAAGTCAATAAGATAAAATATCATTTTTTATCCATAATCATTATACTTTTTTTCTCACAAAAGTCAAAAAAATCTCAAAACAAAAACCAAAAGAAACTAAAAAAGTCTGGCTAAAAAAATTCAAAACTAAAAAAATTGATTATATTAGTCAATACTAAACGACACCTTAACAGCTTTATTTTTGGATTCTTTAACCATTATTAGAAGACTACATGTTTAACAATAAAGGTTTTTAGAGGAAAACATTTCTAGAACTGATTTTTTAATTTTTTTGATTATTTTATTAAAGATTAAAAAATCTCATAAACTTTTAAATTTTTTTAAAAAAAATTAAATGATTATTATTTAAATGTAACATTTTTTAATCTAGAATTAAAAAAACTTATTTTGTATTTTTGTAACTATTTTAATTCTAATCCACCCACATCTTCCCAAACGAAGACTTATTTTTGATTTTATGTTTTTATAAAATTTTATACGAATCCCCCTTTCTCACTTAATTGAAAATCTGACAAAAATTAAACTAAAAAAGTCTGGCTAAAAAAATTCAAAACTAAAAAAATTGATTATATTAGCCAATACTAAACGACACCTTAATAGCTTTATTTTTGGATTCTTTAACCATTATTAGAAGACTACATGTTTAACAATAAAGGTTTTTAGAGGAAAACATTTCTAGAACTGATTTTTTAATTTTTTTGACTATTTTATTAAAGATTAAAAAATCTCATAAACTTTTAAATTTTTTTTTAAAAATAAAATGATTATTATTTAAATGTAATATTTTTTAATCTAGAATTTAAAAAACTTATTTTGTATTTCCGTTTGGGAAGTGGGTTGGCTTTTTAGCTTTTTGGCTTTTTAGCTATTTTAGCCTAGGCTATTTTAGCCTGGTTTGGGAAGGGCTTTTTGGCTTTTTTGACTTTTTTTGTGAGAGAGGATTGTAATGATTATGGGTTGGATTTGATGTTTTGTTTTTTGTGGCTAAAATAGCCTATTTTGTTTTTTGTGGCTATTTTAGCCAAAAAAACCTGGGCTTTTTCTTGCCAAACGGAGGCTATTTTAATTCTAATCCACCCACATCTTCCCAAACGAAGACTTATTTTTGATTTTATGTTTTAATAAAATTTTATACGAATCCCCCTTTCTCACTTAATTGAAAATCTGACAAAAATTAAAGAATCTTGATTGGTAGCTCAAAAAAGCCCTCCGCCGAATTCCCTGAATTTGAAAAGAAGAAGAAAGAAGAAGAAGGAAGAAGGAAAGGAGGGGCTAACATCAACCGAGAGGGCTTAGGCAGAGGCGGAGGCAAAGGAGGGGGGCGGAGGCGAAGGCGAGGGCAAGGGGCTGAGGCGGAGGTGGAGGCAAGGGGCCGAGGCGACGATGGGCTGGGCTGCGACGATGAAAACCGGACCGGGCTGCGACGACGACCGGGCTGGGCGATGATCGGCGAACCTCTCTTCTCTTTCTCTCCCTCTTCCTCTCTGCGTTTCAGACTGAAAAATGGAAGGAAAAAAAAGGAAAATACCCAAAACGACATCGTTTTGGACATTCGGGAGATCCGGGAAGAAAAGTTTCAAACTACAAAACATTAACATGCCATCAGTTTCGGTTCCTCCCTCAACAAAACCAAAAGATTGATTTTTCGTCAACACCTATCAAACCGAAACACTCGCAAACCAAATTTGGCAAGATAGTCCACAGTACACCACATCAACCCCCATCAGAAAAAATATAAAATCCAAAAAGTCTTTGTTTATATATATTTAATTTCTATTGAATATATTGTTTGACATTTCTTACATTAGTATTTTTTTGTTATCTTTTTATTTTTTTTAAATCATACAATCTCTTTATTTTTTTTATATATTTTTCATAAAAAAAATTAAAAAATATATTTATTTAAATACCAGAAAAATTAGCAAAAATATAAAAAAAAAAAAATCAACACAAGAACTAGACATACTACGGAAAAATATCAAATAACTTCTACTTTTCTCATAAAATTTTCATTGAGTACTATAAACACTATGTTGCGAGGAATGATGAAAATTTTATGAAAAAAAAATGTAAAACTCATTGGGAGTTTTCATATGACCAAAATGTCCTTTCCCAAATTAAGACCTATATGACCAAACTGTCCTTTCCCAAATTAAGACCTCTTTTTGATAACTTTTCATTTTAATTAAAAAATTATTATAAATTATCATATTTTTTTTAATAAAAAATTATTAAAATAATTTATTCACAAACCACACCTGATATTCATTGCGAATATCAACGGGCATACTTGACATTTCACGGTAAAATTACATCAACATCATAAGCAGCAGCACATGTAGATCTATAGCCAATCCAACCTTTTAACCCGTACTATCAAAAAACAAAAAAGTAACCCCCAAATTAACAAAAAATTCGAAAACAGCCCCAGGAAATCAAGATTACTCACTTTACACCCCTCTACTGATCATTCCTTGTTTGTTCCTTTTAATGGACTCGAGCTTCTGCAACTTCAACTGGTTCTTGAAAGAATTGATGAAATCATCAGCCTTCGCATCGACCTCCTCGTCCACCTCCGTCGCTCTAGCTTTCCCTTCCCTCACAGTCGCCGGACGGCGAGCCTCCACGATATCCTCCTCCTCGAAGTGCGGGAACACCGACTTCGCACTCGCCGACTTCTTCATCTTCGTCGGCAGCTTCTTCGGCATCTCTCCGGCGGTGGGTTGGGTGTCAGACTTCGTTCTGATAACATGACGGCCCTTAAGCATATTGTACACCTCATCTAGACTCGGTGCCTCCTCTTCTTCCTGTTCGAAATGGGTTTGTTGAAAATCGTTCTGGGCCTCTGTTTCCGGGGTTTGAGATTGATGGGTTTGTTGAGGATCGTAATGGGTATTTGAATCTGGGGTTGGGTCGAAATGGGTGGTGATGGGTGGAGATGGGTTGGGTTCGCGGGATCTATAACTGTAGAGGTTGATGGACCTGAGGCGTTGAAGAACAGAGGGCGATCTTTCGAGTCTGATTTGTTGGTGTTGATGGGTTTGTTGATCGTCGTGTTGGGTTTGATTTTGGTGGTGGTGGTGGTGTTGTTGGTTAGCTTTTGAAGTTAAGTAAATGATTCCAATCATGACATTGAGGAGGATGAAGAAGACAGGGGGGGTGAACCAGCTGTTAATGGAGGACCAGATTGAAGGGATGGAAGATACAGAGTCTTCAAACATGGTTTTTATTTTGAGCGAGAGAGAGAGAGGGAGGGAGGAAAGTGAAGAGTTTCTCTGTATGTAGTATAGAGTATAGTCTGTGGTGGTGTAGATAGAGAGAGAAGATGAGAGTTTGAAGAGAGAGAGAGGGAGGGAGGCGGATGTGTGTCTTTACTCTGTTTTTAAAATTGGGGATATTTGAACGGAAATTATACGGACAGACACTTTTGGCCTTTTAGACATGTTCAGTGGCTGAGGCTAAAACAGTAAAATTGATGTCCATTTTTGGCATATTATGCTTATTAAAATTAAATTGAATTTCGGCCTCTTCTAGAAGCATACCAAATATTTTTTTTTGAAAAATTTATTTGGTTTGATTACTCTTGAAAATTTGTTTCTACAGAATTTTTTTAAAATTTTTTTTTTTGAAAAACAAACCAAATAAGGCCATAATTTCTGTTTTTTAGTATTTTTTTTTGTTTTTAGTAATTTTTTTAAAAAAATTTACTTAATTTTACTTGACTACAAATTAATTTTTTTAAAAATTCTACTAAAAACAAAAATAAAATAAAATAAAATAACAATTAACTTTTTATTTTTAAAAATTTTGTTTATATATTTTTTATTTTTTTTTTACTTTTAAATTTCTTCTCTTGTAGACGAACTTAAAAAATAAATAAAACTGTGGGGATATATTTTCTCAGAACCAACACGTGGCCAAGGTGATGCCGACGTGTCAACCGAGGTGCCACGTGTCCTGGACATGACGTCGAGATTATCTCGGCAAAGCCGAGGTAATCTCCGAAAATATCAGAATCCGAGATAAGCGAATAAGGGACAAGAGTCCTAGAATGACGAAGGACTTTAGCATAGATAATGATAACACTCTTAGAGAGTTTATCTTTATCTCTTAGAGAGTCCAAGATAAGCACTGAGCAAGAATCCATTGAAGTTAGGCTTCTGGTGGAACAAGGATTGGGTTAACTATAAAAGAGAGGCATCCCCGTGGGTCTAAGGTACGCAATTTATATTCTGAATAGTGAGTTTAGCACTATTGATTATCTTTGAGAAATATACTGACTTGATCGTCGAAGTGCCCCCGGGTGGACGAACCACCGCCGAAATCTTCTCTTTCTGTTGCAGGTCAGCTAGGTATCATCTATTCTGCCAATTCTCTCCAGCTGAATACTGAGTTGGGCGGTGTGATCAGAAAATCACTCACACAATTTGGCGCCGTCTGTGGGAAAGAAAGAAAGAAGAATAGATGGCCAGTGACGGACAGAAGGAAAAGATTGGGGACGACACTCCTGCTGGGAGTGGCAGGCTTATCGACCTTGACGTCGAAGGAGACAACTGCAACACAGAAACTCGTGACCCAAATCACAGCAAGAAAGATGTCGGCCAGGATGGCGACGTACCAAAGAAGCCAGATCGAAGTGGGTACTACAATGAGGATGACCTCCAAGTATGGAAGGATAGATGCCTGCGGAGTGACGAAGAGGTAAAAGAGATGGCGAACAAATTGGCAGACCTGCAATCGGTCGTCAATTTCATGATGCAAAACAATGTCATGCAGCCACCATACCCGTTGCAGGACACGTCGATTCCAACGGCCAATGCCTAGAAGGGAGGGCAGAAGACAATCCCAATAGCCCCTCAGCACACCAGAAGCGAAAAACACTCTCACCGGCATTTCAGGGAGGTCGGGCGAGGAGAGTCGGGGAGAGAAGAGTCGCGGAGGACGCACCGCGCCAAGGAGGCAGACCCCAAAGAACATCGGCATATTCAGGGGCAAGCACTCTGCTTCGACACAACTCACGGAGAAAAATAAAAAAGGACCCACCATGAAGCTGAGAGTAGTATACCGAAAAGACTGAAGTCAAGAGATAGCCAAGCTCCTAGACGGAGCAAAGAAAACTTGAGAGATTACCTCAAGAGGAAGCAGTAGAATGCCGATGCCGAGGTAACTTCCCCTGAAAAGCCAAGAACACCATTCTCGGTGGAGCTAGACAAATTTGAGGCTCCAAGGTTCCAAATATACGATGGTAAGTCAGACCCCAACTTCCACATTGGGTTATACTTGAACTCGATGGCATTATATAGTGGGAACGAACCATTGCTCTACAAAGTGTTCCCCACATCCTTTGAGGAGATTGTATCAGATTGGTTCCACAAATTACCAAAAAGAAGTGTGAAGACTTGGGAAGGCCTGGCCGAGATGTTTGTAGCCAGGTTCGTGACAAACAAACTGCAGCCATTAAGGGTGGACGCACTAATGGCTCTGAAGATCAGTAAGAATGAAAGCCTTAGGGCCTATGCAAAAAGGTACTACGAGGTGTTCAATCGAATACCAGAGTGTAATCAAGAGGTGGCGGTTGTATCTTTCAAGAACGGCCTAAAAGACAACTGTCCACTACGAAAATCTTTGGCAAAAGCATTGCCAAAAAGCATGGAAGAGCTCATGGCGAGGATCAAGAAGTACACCAGAGCCGAAGAAGATACATCGGGAACCAAGGAGGCAAAGCAAGAAAAAGGAAACGGCTCGCCGAAGCGAGGCCGAGGTAACAACGGATCCAGCAAGCAGGAGATAGAACTGAGGGCAACATAGGAAGTGACAACTGTGTTCCGAATCCCAATTCACAAAGTCCTGGATCAAATTCGAAATCAACCCTATTTTCAGAACACCAGCAAAGGCACCAGGAGAATTTATGGAAAGAAACCTTGGCAGGTATTGTACTTACCACAATGAAAACGGACATATGACTCAGGGTTGCAGAGCCTTGAAAACACACTTGGAAGACCTGGTGAGACAAGGCCATCTGAGAGACCTTGTCGATGAGGCCAGAACAAGGGAAGAACATACAAGATTGCCTTAGGCGACAGTAGCCTCACCTCCCCCAGTATAGCAACCACAGGCAGGAGGACCTCGGGTAATTAATGTAATTCACTCGAAGGTCAACGAAAACGAGATTCGGGGGGAGACCCAGAAGGTAAAACATCTGCAGCATGTCTACCAAGTCGGGGAGAAGAGACATCAGGCAGAGGAGTACCAAGGACCAGTAGTGTCCTTTTC